TTCGGGATGTGTGTGCACACTGTACTGGCCGTGCCTTGGTCTCATATGCCCATAATTGCCCGGAGGTAGCCATACCGAAATCCTTCATTTGGACTGCTACCACGAGGGGGCGGCTTTTATATATAGCAACCTGGCAGCATATTAATAAATAGCCAGATAAGGAACAAACAACTTGCCAACTGGCATAAGGAACGCTACCCACCCTGACCCCCCAAAATTAAAAAGACCACATGCGGTGGCATAGGTGACGTAGGTCTGCCTACACGAATGATTTCAAGGCTCCCCAAATTAGCCTAGAACACTGCGCAGAATTCAATGAGGCTGCAGCCTGCTTCCACGGCAATAAATTAATGATGAGTCAAAGAGTTCAGAATCTAATCACAGGGATAAAAATAGAAAATGTCTAACTTATAACAATTCATTATACAACAGGTTTTCCTCCAGCCGCTCATTATCTTGCTGTACAGTTCCCCCTAGCATCCGGGGCGTTTTCTCTTGTTTTTGTGTGTGTGTGTGAGATGTTGTGAGGACTAAAAATATAACTGGGTTCAGAAAAAGAATGGGATAAGTTCCTGGAGGATAGGTCCATCGATAACTATTAGTCTAGATGGTCAGGGACGCAAGCCCATGCTTGGGGCAACCCTAAAACCTCTGACTGTCCGAAACTGGGAGTGGAAGATGGGTGGAACCATTCCAAAACTGCCCTGTTCTATACACTCCCCCTGAAGCACTAGTATGGGTCACTGCCAGAAGACAGGACATGGGACTAGATGGCCCATGGTCTGACCCAGTATGGCAGCTCTTATGTTCTTATGAAACTCCTTTGCTTCGCTACTTTTTAAAATCAACACAGATTCCTTCTAGGCATGACATCCTGCTCAGCAGCAATAGATTTAAGAAGCAAGATGTGGCATTTGTTTCACAATCACATGTGGTTTTTTGGGGGGAGGGGCTGGGGAAAGGCAACAAGAGCAGCTACAAATAAACCAGATAGCTATGCTCGTGGGAGGCAGAGACGGGGCGCTACGCAGGCTGACAAAAGGCATCAGGCCGTTGGTAGCTCCCTTCCAGCCCTGTGGAGAAGGCACAAAGTCACACCGGTGAGGAACAAGGACAATGCAGGATGTTACGACCCGTGCTGGGGTAACACAGGTCGGCTGGCTGGGACGCAGAGTCCTGGGCTTGAAGGCCACCAGGACCATTATGATCATCTTGTCTGACCACCTGCACAACATAGGACAGAGAACCTCCCCCTCCCCCTCTGAGGCTCAGGCCCTCAAAGTACGAGACTGATGCACTACCATCTGCGCTAAGGAGGCATGGGGGGGGGGATAGACGATCTCTGCCTCCTCCCCCCTCCCCACTCACATGCTCCGAGGCGGGGAGCAGCCATGCAACACCTGCTGATCCCGGCCTGCTCAAACCCAAGGCAGCCAGACAGGGATATAAGAGGATTTCTTACTTCCCCTTGCCCCCCAGCGGGGGGGCAAGGGCAGACTGTGCTGATGATTTAAATGCCCAAGAGGTTTTGTGTCATAGTGATATTTTATTGTGCTTATTAAAGCTGTCCACACAATTTGAATGGTGAGTCCCGCAGGAGGGCAAGTTTCCCCTATATTGGAATTGGAAAAGGTTCAGAAAAGGGCAACAAAATGATTAGGGGTAGGGATCAGCTGCCGTATAAGGTCAGATTAATAAGACTGTGACTTTTCAGCTTGGAAAAGAGACTACTAAGGGGGAATATGACAGAGGTCTATAAAATCATGACCGGTGTGGAGAAAGTAAATAAGGAAGTATTATTTACTCCTCATAACACATGAACTAGGGGTCACCAAATGAAATTAATAGGCAGGAGGTTTAAAACAGACAAAAGGAGGTTTAAAACAGACAAAACACACAGTCAACCTGTGGAACTCTTTGCCAGAGGATGTTGTGAAGGCCAAGACTATAACAGGGTTCAAAAAAGAACTAGATAAATTCATGGAGTATAGGTCCATCAATGGCTATTAGCCAAGATGGGCAGGGATGGTGTCCCTAGCCTCTGTTTGCCAGAAGCTGGGAATGGGCGACAGGGGGATGGATCACCTGATGATGACCTGTTCTGTTCATTCCCCCTGGGGCACTTGGCATTGGCCACTGTCAGAGACAGGATACTGGGCTAGATGGACCTTTGGTCTGACCCACTATGGCTGTTCTTACATTCTTATGTTCAGTGTACCTCACCGCTAACCCGGCAGAGATTACCTTGAGGGGAGCCTCGATTTCCCCTCCACCCGCTAACATTGGCTAAAATGTAACTTTCCCTATCTACACTAGGGGTTTAAAACATCACAGTGAAATTATCTCCCATGCAGAGGTCTAAACACCACTCAAGTCCCCACAATAGGGCCCACCTGGAACTTAAAGTGGCGCACTGGCCTTCCGCACATTGCATTTCATCCTTTGTGAAAGGGTGGCTCAGTGCCAAAAAGCCATTCAAGCTTGGACTGCCAATTGCAATCAATTGTGGTGGTGGTGACTGACTGATACCATCATGTAGGATGGAAAGAATAATCTTGGATCTTTAGGAGCTTAAGTGCCACCAAAGCCCGTTGCTGTGGAAATACGTGGTTGCAATCTGACAAAGGATTTTGACTTCAGGTGTTGAGAAAGTTGCAGGAGCAGATGAACTCTTAAGAAAGGGGGAACCTATTTTCATACAAATGTCTCTGGTAATAAAATAAAATCTGAGGGAACAAAAAAGCCAGAAATGATCCTATCTATTTGATTGTCCCTAAATAGCATGTTTCTCAAAGTTCCCCAGGAGATGTCATCTCCTCTGGAGGGGGGAACATGTTAAGTAGGTCAGATCAGAACAGAGAGGGGAAAAAAAGGAGATATGAAAAAAGAGATTTGAAAATGAAAGACGGAGCACTGATGAACTGGAGAGGAAGGGTTGTGTGAGACCTACAACACTGTTAAACTTGGAAACTTAACTAGGCTCTCCAGCACATCAAAGGACACACCAGCAATAGGTCAGCTACAAACTCCTGTGTATTTAATTGCTCAGAAGAATCAGTAATGAAAGAAGTCAGGACTGGAACTGATTTTAACTGGTTGGTATAATTCCATAAGCCTTGAGGTAGACTGTTCAAATGGATGGCATACACTCTGCAAAACCACACGGAACTCTGGTCCAGAACAAACGGAAGACTCAAAGCACTCAACATGTGTCTGTTTTGAGTGTGCGGAACTTCCATGACCATGCGATGGATTTGAAGGATGTTTTTCTTGCATCAGCAGAATATTCACTGAAGTTGGGCATGATTTTTTTGCACTGTTGGGATGCCCTGGTTTGTGGTGCGTTCTGAACATCAGATTTCAAACTGGGGTGGGTAGCCTGGCTGGATTTGATCTGCTGACTGGCTGAATTTGCCCGTAATGGGGTGGTAGGGCTCCTAGATCCACTTTCTTAGAATCTCACATAAAACTTCTGGGTGATTCCTGTTGACTCATTGTGGCAGGTGAGGCTTGTGATCACCACTTGTGATATAAAAGGTGGGAGTAGGGCTCTGGGGAGAAGGAAGTAGGAAGCTAGGACAGGAGAAGTCCTGGAGGGAAAACCTCTGAGACAGCTAAACTCAGGCTGAGGGCTGAGTTGTGTTATGGTTACTGAGCCACCAGTAAAGCCAAAGCCTAGGAAGGAGGGTTGGGACACTGGTTCAGGGTCTGCATGTTCCTCTGCAGCCAGGGTGCAGAGTCAGCCCATTCATCTACCCCAGGTGTTCAGGAAGGTTAGCAGAAGTCACTATGAAGTGTTTTTTCAGAAGCAGTGGCTCCATTCTCCATGCTTTCCCTGAACCAGTGAGACATACACATAGCAGCTCTGGATCTGCTCTCATGTACGTGGTATGATGCTGTTGATGTCAGTGGGGCCACTCCTGACTTACCCAGGGGGAAATGAGCAGCGAATCGGGCCCAATGTCTCTGGTATTTTCCAGGGACCTGAGCAAGGAGATTTCACTAGCAAGCCCTTTGTGAGTGCTTACTAAGTGGTGCAGCAATGTGCATTAAAGTGCACCATGTTGTATATTACCGTGCCTGTGCAGACCCTGCTGGTGCACCATGTTAACGTGCCCTGGGAAACTTTTAGGTTGCACGAGCAGGGTCTGCATGGGCCAGTTAGTGAGCAGCATGCTGGTGTAATTCAGACTTGGCAGCCCTCTAGTGCACACTGCTGTACTGCATGGAGAAGCCCCCAGTTCCCAGATTGCTAGACCTCGCTGCCTGTGACTGGGAAGCACTATCCAGCTTTGCAGAGGTTTGCTGTGGTTGCTGGACTGCCCTTGTGGCTCCTTCAGGCTCCACCCATCCATCCACCCTGCACATCTCAGCCCTGTGTCCCCACCCGCAAGGGAAAGCAAAGTCAGTTCATTTCCCCTAGCTACTAGCTTCATAACTGATGATGCGACTAGTTTCCCTGTTTCTCCATGGGCATTGCCTTTTTACTGCTGCGGATCTGATGCTAGCTAACCTCATTAGGGATGCAGAATGGGGCCCACAGTTTTGGGATAGATTTTATGTTATGGCATGAGTCTTGTTTTCACAAGGGTCCCTGTGAGAGGGGAAGCGGGCACAGAAAATCTATACAGCATTATTCATAGCTAATAGAAGCAAATTCTAATCAATCACAGAGCCTGCCTTCCAGCAGCCTCTGGTGCGCTCAGATGCTGTGGAGAACTTCCTTTGTCTCAAACTAGGTCAGCACACAGATGCCACATTGCAAGAGCAATTTATAGTAGATTTCAGGACTTTATTATAGTGACTGGTGATTTACATAGTTCCTCAGCTAGAGGAAGGGAAGGTCGCTACTGAAACACATTTCAGCCTCCCATTTCCACAGCTCCCCGCATAACCCCAGTCCTGCCTTCCCTGGTACCAGCACCAAACCAGGCAGGTTGCAACAGCTCCCTCTCCCCGACCCTTCTGCTGTTTCTGACGGAATAGCTCAAACTGCAGACCTGGGCCATACTGTACCTCTCACGTCTCGCTGAGCTTCAGGGACAGACCTGACTCAGCGTCCAGCACTCTTCCGACTCCTCTGCGTTCCAGAGATGTCCTGCATGAAGATCTAGGATTCGAAGAGAAAAGGGAGAAATGTCATTCCATGTAAGAGAACGTGGTGGCATTTCCTCTCTGTACCGTCCGGGCCTGACCACCTGCTGATGTCAGTCTGTGTAAATCTACTGACTTCCATGGCGCTACGCTGATTGACACCAGGTTGAGAATCGGTCCCTCTTTATTTACAGCCCAACCAAAAACACATGGAAAATGCTGAAAAACATCCTGTGAAAAGGTGTGTGTGGGTGAGGGGGGGTCGGGCTCACATGGTACCTGTAAGGAAGATGGCTGCTGAGTCCCAGGCCACTGCACTCCCCATGTATTGATTTGTCTCTAGTAATTATGTTCCTAGCAAATTGGCAATAAGCTTCTGTCAAACAGGTTTAAATTAATCCCCTGGATAAACTTCAAGCTGTTGACTATGGATTCCAATATGAAAATGAAAGGCAACAAAGACCTCAGCCTGCGTCATCGCAGCAGCTGAAGGGGGAAACTGCAAGGCCACAGCAGAACCTAGCCCAGGCCCTGGAAGAATTCCTCACAGACCAACTGGATTCAATCTCCAAAGATATTCATGTGCTCTCTAAAGATGTATATGATATAAAATCCCAAATGGCTCACTTAGAAAGTAAGCTACAAAAGATGGCTATTGAAACCAGGGAACTTAAAGAAGAAACTGGCTCATTAAAGCTTAGACTAGACAAACCGGAAGAAAAACACGATGACTTAGAAAACAGATCTTGAAGAAACAACCTTCGCCTCTTGGGCTTTGCTGAGGGTCTAGAGGAGGAGATTATCAGCTTCTTCAGAAGCTGCTCCCTGACATATTTAAATTGCAAAAAGAAAAGGAGTACTTGTGGCACCTTAGAGACTAACCAATTTATTTGAGCATGAGCTTTCGTGAGCTACAGCTCACTTCATCGGATGCATACCGTGGAAACTGCAGCAGACTTTATATATACACAGAGAATATGAAACAATACCTCCTCCCACCCCACTGTCCTGCTGGTAATAGCTTATCTAAAGTGATCATCAGGTGGGCCATTTCCAGCACAAATCCAGGTTTTCTCACCCTCCACCCCCCCCACACAAATTCACTCTCCTGCTGGTGCTAGCCCATCCAAAGTAACAACTCTTTACATAATCAAGTCGGGCTATTTCCTGCATAAATCCAGGTTCTCTCACATCCCCCCCACCCCCATACACACACAAACTCACTCTCCTGCTGGTAATAGCTCATCTAAACTGACCACTCTCCAAGTTTAAATCCAAGTTAAACCAGAACATCTGGGGGGGGGGGTAGGAAAAAACAAGAGGAAACAGGCTACCTTGCATAATGACTTAGCCACTCCCAGTCTCTATTTAAGCCTAAATTAATAGTATCCAATTTGCAAATGAATTCCAATTCAGCAGTTTCTCGCTGGAGTCTGGATTTGAAGTTTTTTTGTTTTAAGATAGCGACCTTCATGTCTGTGATTGCGTGACCAGAGAGATTGAAGTGTTCTCCGACTGGTTTATGTTCATAAACTGGTTCATAAACCAGTCGGAGAACACTTCAATCTCTCTGGTCACGCAATCACAGACATGAAGGTCGCTATCTTAAAACAAAAAAACTTCAAATCCAGACTCCAGCGAGAAACTGCTGAATTGGAATTCATTTGCAAATTGGATACTATTAATTTAGGCTTAAATAGAGACTGGGAGTGGCTAAGTCATTATGCAAGGTAGCCTGTTTCCTCTTGTTTTTTCCTACCCCCCCCCCCCCAGATGTTCTGGTTTAACTTGGATTTAAACTTGGAGAGTGGTCAGTTTAGATGAGCTATTACCAGCAGGAGAGTGAGTTTGTGTGTGTATGGGGGTGGGGGGGATGTGAGAAAACCTGGATTTATGCAGGAAATAGCCCGACTTGATTATGTAAAGAGTTGTCACTTTGGATGGGCTAGCACCAGCAGGAGAGTGAATTTGTGTGGGGGGGTGGAGGGTGAGAAAACCTGGATTTGTGCTGGAAATGGCCCACCTGATGATCACTTTAGATAAGCTATTACCAGCAGGACAGTGGGGTGGGAGGAGGTATTGTTTCATATTCTCTGTGTATATATAAAGTCTGCTGCAGTTTCCACGGTATGCATCCGATGAAGTGAGCTGTAGCTCACGAAAGCTCATGCTCAAATAAATTGGTTAGTCTCTAAGGTGCCACAAGTCCTCCTTTTCTTTTTGCGAATACAGACTAACACGGCTGTTACTCTGAAACCCATATTTAAATTGGACACCCAGCTGCCCCTAGTGGATATTGAAAGGGCTCATCTAATTCCTCACACTAGAAGGCAGGAGTCTGGCCGGCCCAGACCCATCATCTTCAAGCTGCTGATGTTCAGTAATAAAGTAATGTTAATGAATGCTGCCAGAAAAGCTGAAACCTCTATGCACAAAGGCCACAACATTTCTCTTTTTCCTGACTTCTCAGCTGAGCTTAACAAAAACAGGGCTGCATTCAATGGCATAAAGCAAATCCTGAGGGGAACTAATGTCAGATACAGCATCAAGTCCCCATCCACCTTCACTATGGATTTAGCAGGCACCACAAGACTTTGCAAAACATGCCTCTAATGCTTGGTAGACACTTGAAAGACTAGACCAAAAATAGCAGAATGGTTTCTTCATCATGAAAAGCAAACCACAGCGAATTTAAACATCAGTTTGTTTTCCTATGTATCCTGGTAGATATGGTAATATTCACTTATATAATCTTCTAGTAGATAACCAGCTAGATTGAACTCTTCTGTTAATCTCCTTTGGAACTAAGCAATAACAATAACTGTATATCACTGCAATGCCTAGAGTAATAGTATGACACTAAGCTGGGGTTTACAGCACCGTCTACTGACTGAAGTATTATCTACACTAAGCATCACAACTTGCACTGCTAGACAGAATCTCTTCACCAGCTCTGCCTCTGAGGGATTGTGTTAGAGACATGGAAGCTAAGATACCCCAAAGAGCGTGACTATACATGTTTCTCTACACTACATTCATCTTACTCCAGAATTGACTTTTTTGTTGTGCCTTCAGAACTGATTCAAGCATGCCTAGAAGCAGCTATTAATAATATGTTAATTTCAGATCATGCTCCAATGATACTTACCATCAACACTGGTTATACCTCATTAATATCTTCTAGGTGGAAGCTAAACACTGTGCTACTAAAAGGTGCAAAGCTTTGTTCCACAATTCTCAGATACCGTCTTTTGGGAAGCTCTGAAAGCTACCATAAGGGGTGAATGCTTAAAGAATGCCTCCCGAAAGAAGAGAGAAAGACTCAAATTACTAGATTCTCTGCACACAGAAATAGATGAGTTGCAGAGACAGCGTAAAATTGACCCAAACAATGAAAACCACCTACATTCCCCAATCAACGCCAAATGCAAATATAATGAATGCTTATTCAGCCAAGTCCCATTTTCACTCAGCAGGGTCAAACAAAGACATTATGAATGGGGTGAGAAAGCAGGTAAACTACTTGCCAGAAGACTTAAAATGGAACTAACCATCAACAGTATTTCTTCCTTATTACAAGAAGATGGGAGTGCCATCCTGGAACCAATAGATATAAATCATCAATTTAAGCAATTCTATAAAGCTTGATATAAATCAGACAACCAATTTGATGCTAATAAATTTGATCATTTTGTTGAAGGCCTGCCTTTTAACACCCTAACTTCAGAACAAGTGTTGTTTATGGACAAAGCAACCACAGCACAAGAGATCGAACAGGCTATACAAATATGAGTTCTAGCATAGGTCCCGAGGATGAATGGCTTTCAGGCACATTTCATAATCAACTATCTTCGAGTCTTTCAAAGGTCTTCACTGAAACATTCCAAAAAGGAACCAGGACTTATGACATGATTACTTTGTTTACTTTAATGTTGAAGAAGAACAAAGATGGTTGCAAATGTGGGGACTACCACCCTATATCTCTATTGAAAACAGATTGCAAAATAATTGCAAAGATGCTAGCCACATGACTGATCACATCATCAATTACAGGCACAGGTCAGGTTGGTTTAATTAAAAGAAGAGTGGCTGCTGCTAATACAAGAAAAATTTCGCACTTGATCCATCAAGTTCAGCTGTCAGATATTCCCTTTATAGCCTTATCTTTAGATGCAGAGAACATCTTTGATAGGGTTGAATCGCCTTACCTAGTGGCTGTCCTAAAAAACTTGGGATTTGGACCAATATTCCTGAATTGGGTCAGCGTATTATACAACTCTCCCTTCGCTTCAGTATCAACTAATGGAATTATTTTGCCCACATTTCAACTAGAAAGAGGGACATAACAGAGCTGTCCCCTCTGGCAGCCCACCCCCTTTTAATGTCATTCTTGAACCACTGGCAATGTACATATGTCAGCATTCAGCCACTGAAGGTGTGACTATAAACAGGAAAGAATATAAAATCAATTTATATGCTGATGACATTTTTGTACTTTTGAAGAATCCATCCTCATCAATCTCATAATATGCAAGGAAATAACTAATCTAGGTGTTAAAATTTGTCCTAATCTTCCCAAAATTGTTTTATAAATATGTACTATATATTAAAAGAAATTTCCAAAGATGTAGAGAGATGGCATCTCCTTTCTCGATCCTTACTGGGAAGAACAGAAATAGCCAAAATGAATATCTGCCTCCAAATGACTTATATCATTAGCCTTTGCCTTTCAAGGTCTCTCTCTTGCTTTCTGCTCGAATAAATAGGCATATCATGCAATTTATATGGGATAAAAAACAACCTTACTTGTCACACCAGACCATTAAAAAAATCCTGTGGTTGCCATATTTGTATCTACATTATCTAGCATTCCAAATGAGTCATAATGTAAAGTGGTTCCCCTCCAGTTGCTCTGCATACACACCAGCGTGGTTTGAGATAGAAAAGACTTAGCTATGCCATTTGGGTCCCTCTCTTCTTTTATATACCTTAAGAAGCTACCCACACCCTTAAGGA